GGTAAATTGAAAAAAAACTATGGCATTATATTATTCACCTCTAGTTTTGCTATAAATGTAGAAATTGACAATCAACTTAGTTAACTAGCTACTCTTTACTGTGTTTATCAATTTTAATTGAAATGATCATAATGCCAATTTCCAAGATGGCGTTCATCTTGGCGGAGAAAATGGTTATTTCTGTAAGATTATTATATTATTATTATTATTATTATTATTATTATTATTATTACTATTGTACAAAATACAATCTCATCAAAGCAATCACATATTAGTATTATGCTTATTTATTATTGTTGAAATAATTAATAATATTATGTATATATTACTGTATTGTATTTCTGTTATTTCAAAATTATATTTTAATATTACAATGAATTACATTGTTAGTACTGTTATATAATAACATTATTTATAATATTTTTTTTACCACTATTGATATAATTACAGTATTATCATCATCCGTCATCATCATCCTCATCCTATTCGTCATCGTCATCATCATTCTCATTGTTGTCTAATCATTATAATCATCCTTACTATCATCGATCGTTGTAATCATCACCATCATCATCATCACATACTAATCCATCGTCATCGTCCTCATATTCATCACGTCCTTATCAATCATCTATCATCGTTATCATCATCCTCATAATCTTCATCCTCCTCATTCTTCATCATTTTCTTCATCATCATCTTCATCATCATCATATTCATCCACATTCATCATCCTCATCATCATCAATGGCATAGCCAGCTATTGGCACAGTTGGGACAGTCCCACACCATTTTTCAAATGGGTCCACAAAAAATGGTCCACATTTTAAAAAAGGGTCCAAATTATGTAATTTTATGCATAATATGGATCCAGATACCTTATATTTAGTTAAATATGGGTAAAATTAAAGAAAATCGGTCCAGATTTTTCATATTTTTGCGTAATATGGGTCCAAATTGTTTAAATTTACACTTAAAAGTGGGTCCACTCTGATATTGTACCACACCGTTTGAAAATCCTGGCCATGGCATTGATCCTCATCCATCATCGTCACCCTCATCACCATCCTCACCAATCATTGTTAACATCATCACCATCACCTTCATCCTACTAATCATCCTCATCCATCATCATCCTTATTCTCATTATCATCAACCTCATCCTTATCCTCCTTATCATCACCACACTCATTCATCATCGTAATCCTCATTATCATCATCATTGTCATTATCATCCTCATCATCATCCTCATTACAATCATCATCTATCATCATCATCCATCACCATCCTTGTCCTCATCATCAACCACATCATCATCATCCTTATTAATCATCATTATCAATCATCATCCTCATCATGAGGATGATAATGAAGAGGGTGAGGACGACAAGAATGAAGATAGGATGGGGGGGGGGGGGCAGACGGGATGTTTCTCATCATTCGTCATCATTAACCGCATCAACATCATTCTCATCAATCATCCTCATCATTGACGATCACCCTCATCAACGACAATTATCATCAAACATAATCATCATCATCCTTATTTTCATCATCATCAAACTCATCATCCTAATCCTTCTCCTTATAATTATCATTATCCTCACCATCCTTATCAGCATAATTTTTTTCCTCATCATCATCCATCATCAATCATCATCTACCTCATCATCTTCCTTCTCATCAGCGGCTTCGTCCTCATCTTCCTCATCATCATTCTTATCTCAATCACCATAACCATAATCATCATTACCATCATCCTCATTATAATCATCATCGTCATCATTACCATTATCATTTTCATCATTATTCTCTTCATCATCAGTCACTACCATCATCATGAGGGTGATGAAGATGAGGATGACAAGAATGAAGATAAGCACAAGGGTGAGGATGAGAGGGATGATTCTCATCATTCATCATCATCATCATCATTCTCATCAATCATTTTCTATCATTCTCATCACCATCATTAATCACCATCATCTTCTTCCTCACCATCATCCTCATCATCTTTCTTCTCCTCATTATCATCATCATCAACATCCTCCTTATAATGGGGA